TATTTCGAGCCAAAACGAGCCGAACACTAACGAACACATCTTAGTTCGAGTTCGGTTTATCGAACAAAATTAACGAGCCGAACACGAGCTTCTTAACGAGACGAATACAAGCTTCTTAACGAGTCGAACAGGAGCGGTTTAACGAGGCGAACACGAGCTTCTTAACGAGTCGAACAGGAGCGGTTCGCGAGCCGTTTTGAACATCCAAATTTACATTAACGCCCCTCAAATAAAAAATAATATCAAGGGCATTGTACGTGTTAATACATCATCAGAATTGTGTGGCAGGTACGTAAATTTCACATAAAAAAATTCAAATTTCTCTTAAATTAAGGGTTTTTGAATTTTTTATTTTTTTATTTTTTTATTTTTGGCCTGTCACTAAAAAAATTATTATTTCAGGACACTTACATCAAGTGTTTTCCACCGAAGAGCATTTAAATCCCGAGGAAATAACCTCATCAGTCATCACCTGTAAACTACTGACAACGAATATGCTTCTCTACCGCCGGCGCGCGGCGGAGTTGGCCGCTAGAGACCACTTCAGCTTCTCCTCCCCCGTCTCCGATCATCTCGAGTATGGCACCTGGGCTCAAAAACTCAGAACCCTAGACGATTCCTTTAGCAAGCGGAAACCCCAAAGCGAATTCGGCCCATATGCTCGAACAATCCGCCTCCCCTCCGTTGAAGGCTCTAACGATGACTCTTCGCCGCCTCTGTGGAAATCAGCATCACCGATCCCCCGCCCTACCTCCCAAATTATCGAGAAATACCGGCACGAGATGATGGATCTGGCCCGCGACTTACCAGAGACTGATTACGAGCTTTCTCTAAGGGATATGGTGGAGCTTAAGCAGATTCATCGGAGTGGGAAAGAGGAGGAGGAAGCCTCGTTGACGGAGAGGCTGGAGGTGAGTAAAGAGAGAGAAAAGAGGAGGGTAAGGAAAGTTTCGAGAACTGGTAGTATGGATTCTGGTGGGTTCCTTCTGAAGTTGTTCTTGCCGAGTTTTCCAGCGGTTCTTGGTGGTAGCCGGAAGATCTCGCCGAGGACGATTACAGCGGGAGATGATGGGGAGTGGATTAATGGCCGGCTTCGAGAGAGGAGCAGTAGCAATGGTAGCCAGGAAAGCACTGATAGCAGCTGTAGCAGCAGAGGAAGAAAAAAATGGTATGTGTTTTGCTTCTTCGTGGGCTCTATCTCGATCTAATAGTTTTGTCCAGACGAGGGACTGCTTGATCGAAGGATTCAAGCTGGATTTATGATGCCATCTTCACATAAAAAAATTCAAATTTCTCTTAAATTAAGGGTTTTTGAATTTTTTATTTTTTTATTTTTTTATTTTTGGCCTGTCACTAAAAAAATTATTATTTCAGGACACTTACATCAAGTGTTTTCCACCGAAGAGCATTTAAATCCCGAGGAAATAACCTCATCAGTCATCACCTGTAAACTACTGACAACGAATATGCTTCTCTACCGCCGGCGCGCGGCGGAGTTGGCCGCTAGAGACCACTTCAGCTTCTCCTCCCCCGTCTCCGATCATCTCGAGTATGGCACCTGGGCTCAAAAACTCAGAACCCTAGACGATTCCTTTAGCAAGCGGAAACCCCAAAGCGAATTCGGCCCATATGCTCGAACAATCCGCCTCCCCTCCGTTGAAGGCTCTAACGATGACTCTTCGCCGCCTCTGTGGAAATCAGCATCACCGATCCCCCGCCCTACCTCCCAAATTATCGAGAAATACCGGCACGAGATGATGGATCTGGCCCGCGACTTACCAGAGACTGATTACGAGCTTTCTCTAAGGGATATGGTGGAGCTTAAGCAGATTCATCGGAGTGGGAAAGAGGAGGAGGAAGCCTCGTTGACGGAGAGGCTGGAGGTGAGTAAAGAGAGAGAAAAGAGGAGGGTAAGGAAAGTTTCGAGAACTGGTAGTATGGATTCTGGTGGGTTCCTTCTGAAGTTGTTCTTGCCGAGTTTTCCAGCGGTTCTTGGTGGTAGCCGGAAGATCTCGCCAAGGACAATTACAGCGGGAGATGATGGGGAGTGGATTAATGGCCGGCTTCGAGAGAGGAGCAGTAGCAATGGTAGCCAGGAAAGCACTGATAGCAGCTGTAGAAGCAGAGGAAGAAAAAAATGGTATGTGTTTTGCTTCTTCGTGGGTTCTATCTCAATCTAATTGTTTTGTCCAGACGAGGCACTGCTTGATCGATGAATTTAAGCTGGATTTATGATGCCATGTGGTTTAATTGATGATGAATTTGACTATTATTGTAAATGATTGAATCAACCCTATATACAATCTATGGCTCAGCATTCAACTTTTCAAAATAGTAAAAAATAAAAGAAAAACTTTGTTTAGTTTCAAAATCTCTGAGTCTTGCTCTAACATTGATTTGTTGATGTTGCAGGAAATTTGGTGGATGCTATTCATTCTGTTACAGGCATAGGAGGAGCAGATCCAGGTAGTTCCAGATCAAGTATGTTTAAACTGAAGTTTATTAGGATTTATCTGTCAAATAGAACTGTGTTTCTATATTCTGAATCTGGTAGTGATTTTCTTCTAAAACAGATCGATTCAGCTTTCATGAAAGTGAATTTATTGTCTTTGTGAGGCTTCTTCATGTATAAATCTTTGATATTAATTTTGCAGGAGTTCATAAATTGAAGCTTGATCTTTTCAAAATTGATATTTGAAGATTGTTTTCTGTGTTCATCTGCAGTTTAATTTCATATTATTTTATTGAATAAATTAAATTTAACTGGGTGATGTTGGGCATTGGATAACTTAAATACTCATGTCCATTTGTCAATATTATATTGAAATTTCACATTTTTTTAAGTGAAATTGGCTTTACTTGCTTTCTTAACTCTTGTATTGTTGACAAGTTAGGAGTTTGTTGGCAAGTGACTATTGGGTTGAAGGATTTATTGAGACTGACAAAAAAAATTATTTATTTAATTTTTTATATGTAAGGATATTTTTCAATTATCAGTCTGATTATTTCAGCTCATATTAGAAGAGTCTCGCACGATGGTTTTTTTCTTTTTGTGGTGTATATATATATATATATATATATATATATATATATATATATATATATATATATATATAATTTAATTAAAACTAAAGATAATTAAAGTACATGCCAAAACAAACTTATATAGATTTTAAATTAAGGATATGGGATAGCCTGGATTCACATGAGGCCAATTGAGTTTGGATTGTATCAATTTTGCTCAATACAAAATATCTATATCTTTAACAGGTGAAAATAAAGTAATCGTAATTAATATTAATAAGACAAAGTTAAGAATCTAAGCATACATGCCTAACAGCGTGAACTAATACTGTAACTATTATTTCTGGTTGACGTTTATATATTTATCATCATTATATATAGTTTTTTAGGCATTATTTTTATGTTAATATATATATATATATATAAAAGCAAATCGCCAATC